TGTCTGACGACATGTCCATATGAACAGGATCCTTCCATCTTTTTCTCGGACTGGGCCCTGTTCATATACGTTCTTGGCAGATGATCCAGAAGTGGTTTGCCATTGCCTTCTTCTGTGTGTGAATGGAGTAATTGTTGGGATGCCACGGAGAAACCGGGGAAGCCCCCGGAGGAAAACTCCGTGTTTCCTAGACCACGGCCTTGCCCAACACAAGTTATAAATTCGGGCACCGCCGGGAATCGAACTCGAGACCCCAGGATTACAAGGCCAGCGTTCTAACCGCTAGACCACCGTGGCAGTAATTTTACGTACACCCGTGTAATGTGTGTACGGCTCCTAGTTAACCTGACGCTTTGTCCACCAAATTGCAGCATGAAGGGCTCTAAATTGAAAACTAAGAATCTGAAGACCCATGCATTGTTTCTCTATGTAAACTCGCTATTAAAGTCTGTGCGTCTAAAATATAATCATCCTGTACAGTTACCAACGTTCCTTAAAGGGTAAAAACACTACCTCGGACAAAAAACTTCAATCATAATAGTTTACCCGTCGGTTTTCGAACGCGGAACCTCAGGCTATGAAACACGAGTGGTAAATACTACACCGTTTTTGTTCTTCCATTGTACGAGTGTTTGCAAGGCATTCAGAACATTCTTACGTATGATAAAGTATGCAAGTGGTCTGTCCCATCATTGCATAACATTACATTCACATCCCTGGAAGAGAATCAGATGGTTTACCACAGAATTCAACCACTGAGCCCTGTTCGTTGGCACAGCAGTAATTAATCTGATACGCACTCACAAAGCACTCGACTCCAGCTTCCAGGTTCCTAGTCCGGAGATAGGGATTAGCTCTATCTAGTGGGCCCAACTGTGTAGGAACCTGAAGACGGGAGATAGAGTCCCATCTCCGAAACGTCGTTTTACGTTTTATAATTACTAGACGATGGATAATATCCAAGAATTTTTTTTATTCAAAATAATAGTTACTTTTGAATATGATCAGGTGTAAAAAAAATTATATTAAATATATTAATACCCTTGCAAACGATACATATCTAACAAAGCGAAAAGTTTTACGTGAGGAACGAACATCAAACAAATGAAAACCAAAAACCAAATATTTCCTCGACTTTAAGATTAATTTTTTTTTTAATGGGGATGCATCTTAAATTTGGTGGCGTCTAGCAATCGATATGGCGTCTTCTTTTCCTGAAAGCCTATTATAAATCAGGGGTGCATCTCACAATCGATGACGTATTAAAATCTAAGAAATACGATATCTAAAATTTCCAGCACGAACACGAGTGTCAACAGTTTATTGCAAGGAGGGGCGACATTTAAAACCATTATAATATTACCTAGAAATAGCATCTAAATGGCGCCTCGTAGTATACAAGGCATGAAAATTCTGATGACCTGAAACACTTGGGTATCGTAGTAAATTTGAATCAACAAACTATTGCACCAAAAGGCACTTCCATTGAATTCGTTCAAGCGTGTTTGCGTGAGTAGAAGTTACGACATTTCATGCAACAGAAGCACATTCAAGTTTATATCTAAGGTACGAGGTGCGATCGGAAAGTTTCAAGACTGTGTCAATAGAGGGCGAACCGGATGTAGTACGAGCTTCTGCCGCTAGGGGGTGCGGCCTACATTCATAGTGAAT